TCTTTGGCCCACACCACCTTCGGGTGGACCCCCCGAACTGGAGCCACAAGAGGCATGAACAACGAGAGTTTCTTCTTCTTGTTGGACTGTTTCACCTCTCTAGCCCTGCCTTCCAGAAACCACAAATCTCGGGTCCAATTTCCAGAAAATCGAACTTCAAGGATCGCACGTGCCTGATGTCTGACCAACGGTTCCTGCTAAAGATCTGAAACAGGAACACTCCTGCTGCAAATCGATCAACAACGTGGAGCTCGGTGTTCCCAACACACTCTTCCAGTCTAACTTCAAGCACTGTCAGGTCCCGGGCTTGATGTGTGGGCTCGTGCTCGCCTGTGGGATATCTCTCTGCAGAACTGTAAACCGCTTCCCTTGCACATATGCCTGTTTTTAAAGCCAACGAAACAGCCTCAACAAAGTCGATGCACGTTTCTGGATTGTGTGTGGTGATTTCGAGCCAAACATGTCACGACGGGACAACATCTTCTCCTCTTCGTCCAATTCTTGCAATGTTTTTGGCAAAACTGGTGGTTCTTCAACCACATGCCTGCAACAGCCTCCTCGAAAGGGTTCATCTTTCTTTTTGCACTTGATCACTTTGGCAAAACAAAGCAAAAGACTGCTCAAGCTTCGTTCGAGACAGCATCTCAACGACAGATGTGCAAGCAGCCTGGGGCTTGTTCAGGATTTGGGAGCTTCCTCAACCTATGGACAGGGTTTGGCGGTTCAGGTAAAGTGTACAAAACAATGCAACGCTTGGCCGGCGGGATGACTTGCGCAGCTAGAACCATCCTGCGCGAAGATGCACCTTGAGGACTCTCCCGCCAGAGGGGTCTTCGAGTTCTGCGCAGTAATGTGGCATGGGCGGCGGGGGAAGGTGTCTGCAGGAGATGCGGCTCTTGCAGTACGTCGAGCAAGACGGCGGGCAAGAATTACAAGACAATCATCTCAGAGAAGGAGTGAGACTTCAGCGGAACTAGAAAGGCAAGTGTGTGCTGCTCCCGGTGAGGAGCTCAAGACACCTGCGATTGGCGTCTTGTCTTTGTCTTGCAAAACACTGAGACCTGGTGTAGACGATTGGGCTCATCACATTGATAAGAACCTTGGGCTCTGGCCAGTCCAGTGACACCACTGGTCCAGGTGCGAAGATGTTCCTGAAACTTCCTTGTTCCCAGGGAAGTTGCACATTCGGTGGTCCTGCGGAAATCAGGACCTGAGCAACACGATGCTGGTCAACTTCTTGGCCTTCCAACTCGCTGTCAGAAGGCACCTCCGGTGCTCGTAGGTGAGCAGCCATCTGGCTTGAACCAAAACTGACCCAAAGTGTCCCAATACTCGCATCAAAAGAAACATGTGAAAGGAAACAAAATCCCTGTTGCGGACATGATGACAAAGCAAAGTTCACTCACCTTGTCGGTTCGAGACACTCTTTTATCCCGACGAGCTCATATCAAGGCTCAATGTCTCAGCTCGGCCAGGCTACGGACACCCCGCACAGGTGGGACTCAAAAGCAAGTGGTCCCCTGACCGCGCTGCCTGCATCACGGCAAGCAGCATTCAGTGCCGGCATGCTCCTCCACCTGGGGCGTATTCTCTTGCAGGAGCCCTTCCATCGAGAAGATGACGTCCCTTCCTTTGGCTCTTGTTAGCCACCTTGAAGATTGAGGGTTTGATGCCTTCGAAGCCGAGTCGAAGTTGAGAAATGTGACCCTTCTAGTTTCCCAGTTGACATGTGATGTGCACTTGAGTTTGTCTATTCTGAGTGTGAAGAACAGGCACGAGGACATGTCAGGCAGTGTAGATTTGTTTGCTTGGTGAGACCTTGTTTTGAGTAGGAAGAACCGTTTTCTGTTTGTTTTCTCGAAACTCGTTTGTCGGAACTCGTTTCCCGTTTGTGACCTGGTATTTGGTGACCAGAAGTGACTCAAGCCAGTTTAGGTCTGCACAGAGCTCAGCAGAGCACCTAAGAGGTGCTAGGCCGACCCAGGAGTAGAAGTTCCATGGCTGAGTGTTTTCACCTGAAGTACCTGTTTTCCCATGTCTGGCAGACAGTGTTTGAAGCTGGAGAGCCGTGCTCGCATTGGCTCAAGCCGAGCGGAGCTCGAGTAACTGTGAACAGCGCAGTGAAGAAAAGAGTCCGCACTTTGTGCTGTGAGGTTGAGTGTAACCTTGACTTTGAGGTCCCTTAGGCCCCAGTAGCTGTGCCACGTGTTTGAACGTGGTAGCGGAGCTTCGTGCTCCAGCATGGACAATGGTGAAGAACGTGTGCCTGGGCGAGACCGTTCTCCGAGAGGCCGCAGTGCAAGCCTGAGTTCCACAGGGCTTTCTGGTGCAAGGTCACCAAGTGCCCGTGGGAGAAGAGAACGTGGAAGGTCTTTGCCAGCGCGACCAGCTTCAGTTCCACGCGGAGTAGACCCAAGGCAGTGGACAGCTACGACTGGAGCAGGCCATCAGCCACCAGTTGGGGCTGTGCCTTCGTTTGGACCTCAGTTCTACCAGATGGGAACACCCCCCAGACAGCACCACAAGAACCCCTTCAAGTTCCGAACATGCAGTTGCCCATTGCACCTGGAGTAGCTCAACAGATGGAGTTCACAAGAGCAATGCTGCAAGCACAGGACGAGCAGATCCGACAGCAGGCAGCTCAACTTCAACAGATGAGTGCCATGCTGACGCAGGCATTGCAGCTTGCAAGTGCGAATGCTGCAAATGCGCAAAATGCAACAGCTACAACTTCATCGTCGACGAGTCCTACCCCTGGAGGAAACCCCCCAGCATCATCTGCGAATGCATCGACCCCTGTGGATATGGAAGTAGACTCTGGTGTACGAAACAAGAGAGCAGAGGGCTACATCCCACAGTTGCCTCAGCTGAACTATGCATCCATGACGAGTAGACATGCTGAAATCCGAGTTTGGACAGCTTACAGAGACGAACTTACAAGCTGGCTTTGTTTGCTTGACGATCGGTACGCTACGGAGTTGCAGGAGGCGATGAGTAGCAGTGTGGAAGTCTTGCAAGTGAAGCTTGAAGCCGGGAAAGCAGCTCGGTCGACCAAACTTTGGTTTTTGCTTCGTCAGTCCATGAGCAAGTTCCAGCGTGGGCAGGATTTGGTGCATCTCATCGAGGTAAAGCAGATGGGAGCAAGTGCTGGATATGAACTCTGGCGTTCTTTGAACAATGAGTTGTCCGTTCGCTCCAGAGTGGAAGGACAAGCCCTTCGCGAGCAGGCATTAGGCCTGATGCCGCCGAAACACCTCAAGCGACCACTTGATGTCGCTAGGTGGTACACCACCGAGCTCCTCAAGTTCGAGGCGCAGGTGAAGCATCGCTTCCCGGAGTTGCTCATCGGAGAGCAAGAGGGAGTCTTGTGCTTGATGAAGCACTTAGATTCTGAGGCCAAGAGGTATCTGCTCCTCCATCACTCAACAAGAAGCATGAGTGAGCTGATGACTGGTTTGCAGTTCTACGACGAGCAGCTTCGTGTGATGGACTTCCAGAGAGAAGGAGCATCCGGATATGCGAATGCCTTCAAGGGCGGTAAGGGCGAAAAGGGCGACAGAGACAAGGGCAACAAAGGCTCCAAGGGCAACAAGGGCAACAAAGGCGAGAAAGGAGAAAAGGGACTGAAGGGCGGCAAAGCGAAAGGAAAGGACAAGAAAGGTGAGCGAAGCGGAAAAGGGGACAAAGCTCGAAGCAAGAGCAGAGAGGCGAAGAAGACGGATGTCTGCCGGAACTGCGGGAAGACTGGACACTGGGCACGCGACTGCTGGGCACCTCCGAAGGACAAAGCCGCAGCGGCGACGAGCCAGGCCGTTACGACGCAGCCAGAGGCACCATCATCTTCATCGTCTACTTCGGCGAAAGCAGCAGCGCAGCCCACAACCAAGGGTAGTGGAAAAGCACAGTCATCGATCAAGACGTTTTTGGAGGGATATCACTTTGGTATGATGCTCACGAACCAAGTGGTTAGTTTTCCTCCAAATGATCGTATTTACTGGCTGATTGACTCCGGTAGTTCGTTCCACATCATCACGAGAGAGACGCTTGAGAGTGATCATGTGAAGGTCCTTGCATGGCTTGAAGGACGCCCGAAGTCGTATGCGGAGACTGCGACAGGAGATTCCGTTGAGATTGGCGGATCGACACATGTTTTGGTGGAAGTTTGCTTTGAAACCACCACACCAGCATCATTGAAGAGCAGTTCTGAGCATGAGGGTGACGCTGTGTACATGTGTAGGGCTAGGTTTGAAGCCGTCATTTCCGATCAGATCAAGCACAATTTGCTGAACATCAACTTGCTTTGTCAGAATGGAGGTTGGGAGCCAGCGATGTGCGGCCAGCAGGGCGTAATTACCGTCCGAAAGCACGGCGTAACGCTGAAACCAACCATGTTTGCTTCAGTTAGTTGGCTTGCGTCAGTTCGGAATGACCATCCTTTAGCGCTGAAACCGCAGGATTTGATCGCCAAAACGGAGCAGTTTCGTCGAAGTCGGTCTCGCAAGTCGTCTTCGAGTCGTGATTTTCATCGTGCGACTTCGAATCGAGGTCATCGCAGCTCTGCAAGAGTGTGTGTTGAGCCCGAAAACCCCGAATTGCTGGATGTTTCATGTCTTGATGAGGTAGTTGATTGCGAGTTTCAGACGAGCCACGAACATGTTGACCTGGACCAAGGCGAAGCTAAGGACAGACTAAGGACAGTCGATGACGTTTCCGGCTCTGCGAGGGATCAACTTCAGTTTTTCAGTCATGTGGATACGCCAGTTGTTCGTGAGCTTGATAGGGATGAACGCTTGATTTTTAGTGAAGACAACAGCGTTATCTCACACAAGCAACAGGACAACAGCACCACACCAGCAGTCGAGCGGCTTGTGTTTGAAAATGACAGCAGCGTTATCTCACACAAGCAACAGGACAACAGCACCACACCAGCAGTCGAGCGGCTTGTATTTGAAAATGACAGCAGCGTTATCTCACACAAGCAACAGGACAACAGCACCACA